CCCCCCCACCCCCCCCCCTATTTCAAACATGGTTACGTACCACTTGAAGCCAATGCATTACACACAGGCTAATGTATAAATACACGTTCCTTTTGGTACTTCTCCAACTCAGTACAAGTAGTTTCACGTGGCTTAGATGACTTCATATTTTTTAGTTTCGCTCATTCATTACACGGTATGCAAGTCACTCTTACAAGGCTGGAGTCAGATAGCGACACTTTGCCCTCTTTACTTTAGCGGGGTGTGCTTGGAGGTGTCAGACGTACGTTTGCGAGCTCCTGGCGCTACAAGGTAGGTCATTTTTTTGTCTTAATAGTTGTATGGGACCTGGTCTATTTCAGAGATATGTTCGTTTTTTCTGTTATTTTATGACGATTTACCACATTTGTGGAAGGATTGAGATAACAGGTGACTATCACCTCTTCAAAGATGTCAACCCCGAGACCAGACTGTAAGGCTTGAACCACTCACACCGGGAAGGTCCCCTACTCTTTTCGATAAGTGCGGTGGGTTCTTTAACGTGCGTGGGGTATGGCTCTCCCAAACACGGGACCTCCATTTAACGTCCTATCCGAGGGACGTCCCTAGCCGAAGCTAGGTACTCATTTACACCTGAGTGAAGTGAGGAAAGTCGTGTAAAGTGCCTTTCCCAAGGGCACAAGATCGGTGACATGGGCAGGGTTCGAACCCACGACCTCTCGGGTGTGAGCCGAACGCGCTACCGGCTGCGCCACACGACCCCACTTTGTTGTGATCTTCATGATTATGGCGTGGTCATATTTCCAAGCCGGGGTCTGGCCATGTTGTATTTTTGAATGGAAAAATTAACATTTCATGCATATCAAGAATATACGGAAATAACGTGTTTATGATTAGTTTTGTAAACTTTAGGGTGTATTATAGTTTTTGTTTCAAACGACTGCCGCCGGCCACTGGTTAAGAAATGTGACCACGCAAAAACGATTATTAGCGCAGTAATAGTCACATTTTACTAGCCTCCTTTGTAGGCGTTCCGTGACCATTCTTCTTGAGAGGGGGGCGCTTTTTTCTTCAGTATGGTTCTTTTGAAAGAAGAAGATATTATTCACCCCCCCCCCCGCCTTGCGCAGTATACCCGACACGTCGACATAATCTTCAGGAAGTCGAAGGCGGTCGCCCTACGAAGAAGAACATCTGGAATCCGTAGGATAGCATACTAGGGTTGGCGGCCGGAGCTTCTATTGCATGATCAACGTTTGATCGAAAAAAGACCCCCCCCAAAAAAAAAAAACAACAACAACGAACGATCCCAGAATTATAACGCTTGCTAGATGTTCCCTAACATCAGAAGACTTTATTTTGTTCAAGACTTCCTTGTTCATTGAACAATACGTATAACGTTTGATGAATATCTTTAGGAACATAAACTGCACTTTAGTGCTATTGTTATCACATGGTCTTGACAGTACAGCAGTGAAGCCCCTAAATTAACCACACTTCTTGTCACAGCTCAAATAATAATTTATCCAGGAATGTGTCACTCTGCACTGTGTAAGTTTTGATAGCATATATGGTAATAGCGTAAAATTGCCCGCCCTTTCTCTGTGAATATGGTGTGATAAAGCCTTGTCAGTTGCTATAACCACCGATAGTTGCTATACAGTATAGCAGTGAGGCCCCTAAATTACCCACACCTCCTGCCGCGGCTCAATTAATGATTTGTCCCTCTCTCACTTTACGTTACTTATTTTCAGAACGACGTGAATTGACTGCAATGATTAAAGTTTAGGTGTATTGAAACATGACTTAATAATTATATTTGAAATTAGATTTATACCCGAAAAGTGGAGTTTCAGTTCCGTGTTTTAGAGGGAAGTCCTGACCTTAAGCACTCACTTCGTTACCACGCCTTCTGAAGCCCGAAAGGAACTTGGCCTCCCTTCATTTTTACTTCCTTTTGTCGTCTAATTTATGCGCGGTGACTGACACAAACATATGTTAGAACTTTCTTTTACTTCCCTAAATGATTCAATAGGCGATGACCATGACGTAATACATGAACAAGTTGCCGTTTTTGCCATGAACTACTTCCCCAAAATGAAATCCCGCGAAAGTAAAATTAAACTCGCTTTTAAACAGCGTAATTTTATGTATGAGGTGAATGGAAACGAAACATTCTCACAGCGATTATTCAATACAGAATATGCAATATTTTCTAAAGGGCGGGGTAAGCCAAGACTAACTAAGTCCAGTCGCTAGCGGCCTTCTGACTAGGTATAGCTAGTAGCTAGTGCTATTTCAGTCCTGAACAGTGATAGGTGATGCAGAGACCGAAGGAAACTAGTGCAGTGCCCGAAATATATTTTTCAAGAAGGGTATTTTTGGCAGACTTTGTGTGTTTTTCTTTGTGTGTATGTAAACACACGTACACGAAGTCTGCCGAAAACAGACCTTAATATTCTATCCTACATACGTTTTGTTAGTGTTGTTGCTTACATTTAGATAAAATCTAGATGGTTTTAGAAAATAAAATCAAAATATTACCTAAACGGCACCAAAATTCTTCTTGTGGTTTTCACAATCCTCTAAAATGTGGATGTTATACGCTATGTCGTTATGATTATGGGCCGATTGAGAGTCTAGCTAGTGGACGTACGTACTAAAGCAATGCACAGTATTTTCAAATCACACATCCTTTTCAGACGAGGGATGTACAGAATGGCGGATGGTAAGGAAGTGAGGGCCCTGAGACTGAGGTACCGGAGTCTGCTGATCGGGGTGGTGTTAGCCGGAGTCATGCTGGCCATAGTGATCGGACTCGCCGTTGGCTTGACAATACAACGATGCAACGAGTCAAAAGGTTGGCTGGAACTTTTAAGAACCCACATGATTTCAAAGTTTGTAACAGCCTATTTTTGTGAGATTGTGTCTTTTGAAAATGTTGCAGAGATGCGAGGGAAAACCAACTATACTACAGTGCTACTATTGTTCTCGGTTCTGTATTCCTTCAGCTT